GTCTCCTGAGCTCAAGCAATCCTCCCACCTTGGTCTCTCAGAGTGCTGGGATTACAGGTGTGAGCCACCATGCCTGACCCATATTATAAATTTAAAATATGATTGCTTTGTGATATCTTCATTTCATTCAAAGTTATATGTGAATAAATCGTTCTTTTTTTTTTTTTGAAACAGATAAAAAATTTGGAGTGAAGGCAAGAATTAATGGGACTCTGAATATAACCCTGAATTTGGTTAAACAGAATTTGCAGAATCACCGGTTGGTTCTACCTTGTCTTCAGCTTTTACGAGTATATTCTGCTAATTGTGAGTATTTGAGTGGTTTTTAGTTAACTCAGTGTTGTAAAGTTACACAAAATGAAAATTTTAAAGTGTCTTAATTCTGTAAACCTCTAATATTTGTGGAAAAGGAGAGAGAAGATTTAATGTGGATCATTGTAACTCCTAACTACAACCACAGCAAAAGTGATGTGGAATAAAATGTAAGTTGACACAATCTTGAGAATTCTCACAAATTTCCCCAATTTGTAAACAACTGGAGTGAGGGGGATGCGTAGGAAGCCTGTGGAAAGGATGTAAAAGAATATGAGGGTATTTCCTATACCTCTTTGGATTTTCACAGATGAGAGGAAAGCTGAGAAGGCAGACATGCAGTAACATAGTCACATGGAGCTATTAATAATTATCTTTAGCAATCAGTAGGAAAGTAGCAGAACAGCAAGTACATAGTACAGGAGTCTCCGAGGAAGCTGGGGAAAAGAGGGATCACAGAGAGAGAGACTCAGATAAAATGTCTCCCAAAACACACACACTCAGTTACCAACATTAGGTCCCACCCCATGAGGTTCTGACTGTGAAATTGGGGTGGTTAATGAAAGAACCTAAAATTGAATTGTAGAATATATGTTACTGCAGAGTGTCATTGTAAAATAATGATAAAGTATGTGTTTGTGTGTGGTAGACATACAGTTATGTGTGTATGTCTGTGTGTATATCTATACCTCAACGGTATAGCTAAAGGTGTGCTCAGAGGAAGGTAGCTCTGAACACCTAAGTAATCAACACTTTCATAATTAAAAAATATAAGGAAATGAATGAATTTGATATCTACCCAAAGAAGTTAAAAACAGAGAAATAAACAGGAGGAATGTAGATAAATGAAGCAGTAAAGGAGAAAAAATGAAAAATATGCATTAGCAAATATTAGATCACTAAATAGGAAGTGTCCAATTTCAAATCAAAAGTGTAATTTATTATATCTTAAACAAGAAGCGGTAGAGTTAATGAAAGTATGCGCCTAAACTATCAACACTATTTTGCTGCCTTAATGGTAGCTTGTTTATGCCAGCAACTAAGAAGCCTGGAGAGTCAGTGGCAATGAAATCACAAAAGGCGTTTTCCACAACTTGTTGAGAATTGAATATTTTTCTTTGCAAGAAGGGGTCCAAAGCCTAGAAGAAGTGATAGTCAGTTGGTGCAAGGTCTGGTGAATACGGTTGATGACAGAGAGTTTCCAAGTCCAGCTGCTGTAGTTTGAGCAGTATTGTTTGTGTGACATATGGTTGAGCATTGTCTTGCAGGAGGATTGGCCTGTCTCTGTTGACCAGTGTCGGCAGCTTAGTCACAAGCATCCTCATCATTTTGTCCAATTGGTTGCAGTAGACATCCGCTATAATCGATTGACCAGGTTTCATGAAGCTATAGTGGATAATACCAGCGCTGGACCACGAAACAGACACCATTAGCTTTTTTTGATGAATATTTGTTTTTGGACTGTGTTTTGACACTTCATCTTTATCCAACCATTGTGCTGAATGCCTGTGATTGTAAAAAATAATCTATTTTTCATCACATGTAACAATATGGCACAGAAATGGTTAACCTTTGTGTTGTGACAGCAAAGAAAGGCAAGTTTCGAGACAATTTCTCTTCTGACGCTTGTTTAATTCATGTGGAACCCATTTCTCCAGCTTCTTTACCTTGCTGATTTGTTTCCAATGGTCCAGTATTGTTGGAATAGTAATGTCAAATCTTGCTGCTAATTCATGCATAGGTTGAGATGGATTTGCTTCCATTACAGCTTTCAGCTCATCATTATCCACCTTGATCTCAGGTCGTCCACATGGCTCATTTTCAATATTAAAATTACCAGAACAGAACTTCTCAAACCATTGACATTGTGGCATTCATTAGCCACATCCTTCCCAAAAACTTCAGGGATATTTTGAGCTGTCTGTGCAATATTGGTTCCACAGTGGAACTCATATTCGAAAACAACATGAATTTTTGACTTATCCATAGTTTCACAAAAATTGCTCTAAAAAAAAAAGTGTGAAAGATAATCACAAGCCAAAACATGCGTTTGCAAGACTGAGGATGTACCCTCACAGTAAAAATAAAACTAGAAGTATCAAAGTGAAATGTCAGAGATAATCAACTGTCAAACTTAGTATTTAAGGAAATCGGACATTTCATACTTAATAACCTAATAGAAAAATAGTTGATTTAAAAAATAAAACTGCATTGGATTAAAAATAAAACAGGTAAGTCACCAAATACTCTAATCAAGGAACAAGGAAGATAGCACAGATATTGATATTAATAAAATTAGAAGGGATAATAGAGCAATAAACAGATACAGAGGAAATTAAAATCATTCTATGAAACATTAGGAGCTACATTTTTGGTAATATTTTATTGAATTTCTAGCCTAGAAGGCTAGAAAATGGCTTATCTGTAATTTCAAAAATTTTTACGAAAAAATATTATTTAGAGGTGGAGTATCATTATGTTGGCTAGAGTTCAGTGGCTATTCACTGGCTTGATCATACATAATACACTACAGCCTCAAAGTCCTTACCTTAAGCCATCCTCCTACCTCAGCATCCTGAGTAGCTGGCACTACAGCCACCTGTTACCAAATTTGGCTCTACATTTTTTTTTTTTTTTAAAGGTACAGGGTCTTGCCCTGCTGCCCAGGCTGGAGTGCAGTAGCTCAGTGATAGCTTACTGCAACCTCACATTCTTCCACTCAAGTGATCATCCTGCCTCAGCCTCCTCAGTAGCTGGGACTACAGGTGCGCACCACAATGCCCAGCTACTGTTTAATTTTTTCATAGAGACGGGGTCTTGCTATGTTGCCCGGGCTGGCCTCAAATTCCTGAGCTCAAATGATCCTCCCTCTTTGGCCTCCCAAAGTGCTGGGATTACCGGTGTGAGCCATTGCACCTAGCATTCTATAATTTTTTAAAAATAATATTTGTTCAGAATTGAAAATGTTAGACATAGTTTACTGGTTAGGTAATTGTTTGCATTTTCCATGTGAAATACTAAAATTGTTCCCTCTTTTTCCCTACTACAGTTGCTTTAATTAAGGTCCTCGTTACCTCTCACAGCCATTAGACCACAACCTCTTAATGTGTCTCTCAAAATCATCTTCCCCAGAGTGTTATGAGTTCTGACCTGTTTATTTAAAATGCAGATCTGATTTATTGTTCCTTTCGGGCAATTCCTTATAGCTGGAAGAATTGACAACTTCTAAAGCCCTTCGTAATTTATTTCTTACCTCCTTTTCCCACCTCATCTTCGAATTTATATGTCTCTTTTTGATACTATATGTTTTAACAGTATGTAACTACTCATGCCCTTGATGTTGTCCCTGTTATGCCAGTCTTCAGAACTATTCCAAAACCACATCTACCCCTTTATTCCAACTCCCATCCTAGCTAAGTCGTACTCTTTTTTTTTTTTTTTGAGACAGAGTCTGGCTCTGTTGCCCGGGCTAGAGTGCCGTGGTGTCATCCTAGCTCACAGCAACCTCAG